TGTTAACAATAGGTATTAATTAAGGTGAACGATAGCCATGTGATGTGAGTATCAGTCTCCTGGAGGCAGGACTTAAAAGCCTGCATTTTGCCTGAAACTCTCAGACTGAAGAAGTCTCTTGGAAGAGAGACGAAACGTTTCATTAGAGAAGAACCCGTCCAGAAGACCTATACAATTTATTTTTTTGATTTTTTACCTGGATTACTGAGATGCATCAGGACATTCATGTTTCTTGTTACAGATGATATCAAGTCGGTGCGGGCTGTGGTCAACCCTGATATTTCCAAGTAAGTAACTACACTCAGCACCCAGATTACAGAAGCTCCTGCCCTTCATCTGGGATGAAGAATAACTTCAACTTGTTGCCTTTTTTCATCAGGATTCGAAACATCGGCATCATGGCTCACATTGACGCAGGGAAAACAACCACCACAGAGAGGATACTTTATTACTCCGGCTACACACGAGCACTAGGAGGTGTGTTGGCAACAACGTGCATCCATCTGGGGGTGATGTATTACCGCCTGTAACTAACGTGTTTGCTGCTGCTTGGTTTTGTTTCTGTCGCCGCTGCTGTTAGATGTGGACGACGGGGACACAGTCACAGACTTCATGGCTCAGGAAAGAGAACGTGGCATCACCATCCAGTCAGCAGCTGTCACGTTTGACTGGAAGAGCCATCGGATAAACCTTATAGACACGCCAGGTGAAAACACTTTTGTCAAAACCTAAAAAATAATTCTGTGAGTGTAAGAGGGAAGCAGGCGCCGAGATGTTTGCTTGACTGCAGGACACGTCGACTTCACGCTGGAGGTGGAGCGGGCGCTTCGAGTTCTCGATGGAGCCGTCGCTGTGGTGGACGCATCGGCTGGTGTTGAGGTTAACAAACAGTTTTCAGTCTGTTTCCTTTTTCAGTTTGCTCTCCCCTCTCTATGTGTCGAAACTCTCTTCTGCTGGCTTTAAAACAGGCCCAGACGCTGACCGTGTGGAGACAGGCGGAGAAGCACCACGTTCCCCGTGTTTGCTTCCTGAATAAGATGGATAAACCCACAGCAGAGTGAGTCACCTGATCGTCTCCACATAAACTTTTGGTCACATTACAACCACAGACTTCAAAGTATTTTACTGGATCTTTACTGTACGCGACAAACTATCACAAAGTAAAACATTAAAGTGAGATTCAATAAAAATGATACATGGATTTCAGATTTCTTTATTACAAATAAAAATCTGAAAGTGTGGCGTGCGTTTATGTTCAGCTCCCTTTACTCCAGGGGTTCTTAACCTTTTTGACCTCATGGCCCAATTTGTTGAACATAAAGTGGCACAAGGCCCAGTCAGACATTACCATATGGATCAAAATGATAATTATTTTCTATCTTGGTTTAATTTTTATTGTATTTACATCATAACTAAATTAAATACACTTACATTTTAAAAGTAAAACTCCTGTCAAATAATCACAAGACGTGATTATGACAAACATTTTTATATTGTAACCTGCCCATAACAATTATTTGAACAAATACAAAGGTCAGTCAACAGACCACTCAGGCTTATCTGCACACACACACACACACAC